ATATATTCAATCATCCAGCATAATTACTTGTGCATTATAATTAGATGCAGAATTGCATTTGCAGATAGTCACAGGAACTGGTATATGTGTTAGCGGCTAACTGTTATGTAACTGTGTTATATAACGTGTGTGGAGAACTGCCACCGCCATATCATCATCTGTGTGTGTGTGTGTAAGAGAGAGAGAGAGGGAACAGAAGACAGGAAGTGACATCGAGAGAGTCTCTCAGTATGCTTGTGATCAGGACGGCTAAATCACTTAAATGATGGTGATTTATATATAATAATAAATAAATGTGTGTGTTGTAAGCCTGAGGAGGGTTGAATGAATGATTAGGGTGTGTGAGTCACTAATATTTTTATTAGCTAATAATATTTTTGTCTGTTTGTGACAGAAAGCTATCGAATGGCTCGGCACAGAAGTCATATGGGCAGGAGCTCAAACCATGGGTTAACTACACACGTTCACTTTATAGAAAAGAGCAGCGTGAAGTGAACATCATCATACAGGTTTGCAATGACATGAGGGAATTTTGCATCTCTGTCCAAACTGATAAACGTACACAAACTCTCTCGCTCATATGAGCATAGCACAGTCTCCATGGCAACGCCCGCTGCCATGACAACCATCCATATCCACACTGCAGGGCGAGAAATGAGTGTGACATATGAGCTGACGAACGAGTGTTCATCGCCCGGCTCGGGTGAGCGTCTCTAGCCAGATGGGTCAGGGAAAGTTAGTCATATTTCTGCAGCTCAAACTTTAGCACAGGGCGCTAGCAACACCAAGATCATGGGTTCGATCCTAAGGAAATGCATGAATTGAACAAACACATTTGCAGCTCAAATGCAATGCAATGTAAGGCACTTTGGGTAAACGCATCTGCCAAATGCATAAATGCAACTGTAAGTCATGTAACTCAAAATGTGCATGTTTATAGACTAGAGCCCGACCGATAAAGGATTTTGAAGGCCGATACCGATACAAATATTTGTTGGTTTTAAAATCCGATATTCCGATATTTTCCAGAAACGCGCAACAAAACATTAACAGATTTCCATAACATTAGTTATTTTTAGTTACAAACTATACAACTCCAACACTCATGACATGGTTGAAGCGTGTTTCGTCCGTTTTTATTTCATTTTTGAAATACTCATTTATCGGCCATTATAACTGCCAATACCGATAGTTTGGAAAATGCCTAATAAATCGGTCAATACCTGCCGATAAATCGGTCTGGCTCTATTTAAAAACAGATGTCATGTAATTTACCACTTTTCCAACTATTTATCACAAGCACACTTGATTCTTAGCAAACTTGTGACTTAAAATAAGCATTAAAGGGTACATGCATGCTTTTAAATCATTCATTTTTACATATAAATCATACATTTGTGGTCTATATAAAGCATAACTGCAATGCTTGGGTCTGAATTCCTCATTATTATAGCTCCACAAGCCCCTTTTCTACACCTTTTCTGATGTGCCTCTTTGAGCGACCCGTTTCAATGCGTCCCCTTTAAATAAAAAGAATAAAAAAAATAAAAAGCCCTATCTCCAGGTCGATGAGTTAATGGTCAGTTCAACTCCCCACGTTCGGCCATTATTGTAGTTTGATTAGAGATATACGATTATATGATACCTTCAAAGAACATTTTTATTCACACGTTAATTAAATGTCAACAACAGAAGACTTGTCCATCAAGCCTTACATATTCGAGCCAGAGCGAGCGAGTTGATAAAGACGACGACGATCCTGCAGAACAACAACCTCTTCATGTATTGGTATGCGAGTTAACTGTTTTGTGTTATTAGTGAAAGTCGACTATTTCTCTTGTTAAAACAAGCACACTGACAAGATAAATGACTACGGTCTAATCTTACCACAAAAAAAAATCTGTATTGATAATATGATACGTTTAGAAAAGCATCAGAAAACAATGCAGCTAAATGACCATTGATGAAACTCAAGAACAATAATACTGCAGACGTGTAACGTTAATTACTTCAAAACCAAAACAAAGAAAGACAAAGCCGGTACTGCTAAACCATGGCCACCATGTGTTTTAAGAAAGTAAAGTACTTATTTTTATTAACGATATTTACAGCTTATGGAAATGCTCTGTTCGTCTGTCTCCAAAGATAGAAGGAATTTACCCCTCATTCAGACGAAGTCAATCGGCAAACCCTTCTTTATACTGGCGGAGGTTGTTGAAGTGGGAACCCTTGAAGTGCTTCAGGTCACTAACGTACATCCAAAAACCGAACATTTTGACTTGCCCTCTCGTAACTTCTGCATCATTGAGCTCGGACTACAAAATCGGAGCGAGAAATAATAATGGCGGATTGCTCGAAGTGTTGGGCCGCTAGTCGATGTCCTTATTTGTCAGTTCCGCTGCAAATGCGGTGACGCACTTGCTCAAAAAACGTCATAGACAACAGAAAAATCTGAACAGGTTGAAAAATATGACCAAAACAGAATATAAAGATATAAACGAAGCACCTGAAGAGAATAATTTCATCTTTTCTGTACTTATAAACACTCCAAATATACAACAAAATGCATTTAAGGGCTAAAAAAGTGGATTTTGCATGATATGTCCCCTTTAAAATAAGTCAAAACGATTTTAGTTTGCCCCCCTCAACAACTGTTTTTTGTTTGGAAGAACCAGGGTTCTTTTTAAAACTGGATATAAACTGGAGTGATTTCTAGACCTGGAAGAGTCGTGTGAATTGATCAAATCGGTTACACTTTATTTTAAAGGGACAATGTGTAGGAATTTCTCCCATCTAGCAGGAAAATTATATTTTGCATTCAAACGAATTGTGCTCTCCAGCGTCTCGCTTTTTCAATCTCGCGTTGCATCTACGGTAGCTGTTATGTACCAAAAAAGCTATGACAGATGTCTTCTAATAGCACTTCGTCGAGAGTTCCTTCGGGTGAATAGGTTTGTTATTTCAAGCAAACTGCAACTTGACAACGAACAAACGAATGTTACAGTGTGAATTAATGACTGAAACTACTCACTGCTCTGCATTCAGTCGTTCAGTCATGTCACGCTCTGAACGAAAACGCGTTGGCCTAGTACTTTTTGTCTTTTCTCAGCTATTATAGTTTTCCAAGATGGCGGAACAACATGGAAGCCTCCGTGGACTTACCCGTCCCATGTTTATAAAGATAATAAAGGATAAGTCAGATAATTGGCAGAGGTATTTGTACACCATTGAGGACATATTTATGAATAAAAATATTGATTTTTAGACAATAAAATACAGAATATAAAAAATACTGTAAAATCTTATCATGGGAATTTCTAAAACAAATACCAATCTATAAAATATTTTATCAGGTAGAAAATTCTGAGCAAGAACTATTTTAATCCTTATACAGTAAATAAAGACTTTAGGGGGGCAGAAAAAAGTGTGTTTTAAAATTGTATGGACGACAGTATGGATTTTGAAGTGTGTTTGATGCTTTTAGAGCTTAAATCACAGCTTTAAAGGAATACTTTGCCAAAAAGGACAACAAAGCAACATAGATTTTCCATTAATTATAACTTCACTTCCGGTCTTGGAAAAAAAAAAGCATACAAGTCATATCAGCTACTTTCATGATACTTGATAGATCTGGTTCACATTCATTTTCAAAGTTTGGAAAAGACCAGTTTAGACGTTATGCAACCTCATAGAATATATATCAGTGTTGTAGTACTCGAGACTCGGACTCGTCTCGGACTCGGTCTCGAGACCATATTTTAATGGTCTTGGTCTTGTCATGGACTCGTGTCCATTTGGACTCGGAATTGACTCGTACTCGAACATTTTTTTTTTTTAGGACTCGGAATTATTCCCGAGTCCACTCGAGTTCAATTCAAAATATTTTTCATGATTATTAATGTATGTTAATAAATTATTTCTTTAAATTGATTGACACGCCCAGTGATTGGTGATTTTCTAGTGCGCAACTGCGCATGACAAATTGTAATAAAATTACTTTTAACACCACCTACTATGTGGCCTTTTTACCCTAAACTGATCATATTTTTTAAACTCTAAGTAAATTCAGATAAAAAAAAACCCCATTCTCTAAGTAAATAAAAGTAAATTAGGTAATCAACCCTCACTGGTCTCGTTCTCGCCTCGGACTCGACAGTCTCTGGTCTCGGACTCGACTCGGACTCGACTCTCTATGGACTCGGTCTTGACTCGGACTCGACTCTCTCTGGTCTCGGTGTCGACTCGGACTCGAGTGAGGTGGTCTCGACTACAACACTGATATATATTACAGAATAAGGTAATTGTGGCTTTTCCCAATGCAATTGCAAGTTTATATCTTACAATTTAGTATTTGCTAAAGCATTATAAGCAATGAACCAAGCCAACCAGCTATCATAATCATAATCATAACATTACAAACGGCAAAATTCGCAAAAAAAGTATTTGAAAATAAGACAAAAAGACAACTTAACTACAACTACAATAACACAAAGCATTGCGAACAGAATAACCATAAAGAACTCATTAAAAAATGCTGATTATACACATAAAAACAATATATTTTAAGTCTATTCCCAAACAAACATCTATATACAAAGTATTTTGAGGGCATAAGGAGAACAACTTGATTATGTCATTTGCAGTGCTTAATCGGAGTGGGCGGAGCTAAAGAGCTCGCATTCCTCTTGTGGCAACTCTTTACTGCACAGCATCATGGGTAATGTAGTTTTTACCTCCGGAACCTGACTGTTGCACTCTATTGTGAGATATAAACATTATATCAGACTTATAAAAAGTCTTTTTTATTCCTTGCTTCCGTATAATTTTTCGATATCCTAAATATTAAATCCACACACAGATGGGACTCTGACAGCTCGGAGCATGTGAGGAGTTTTGGGGTGAGGTGAGCGTGGAGTTGGGCAGCAGGGTGAGCGCGGTGGGGAGGCAGACAGGAAAGCGAACAGTGCGGGGACAGGAAACAGGAAGTGATGCGCTCTCACCTTGGGTGTGGGACAGGAAGCTGTGGAGAGGCGAGAGGTAGCCTGGGCTCGCGGCGACTCGGACGGCGTGGTGCTCAAAGATGCCGTGTCACGGGGAAGGACCTGGACGCCCCGTGAGATGATGGAGTCAGGAATCTAAGACACGGAGAAGGATGTTTATTATAACCAGAGACCTCACTTACTCTTTGTGCATTATGCAAAGGTAAAAAGTCAAAAGTTTGCATTTGAAAGTATTTATTTCTTTTAAACGTGGTGAAACAGATCCCGGGACATGTTTTTGTCAGGTTTCTAATCAGATAGTACATTCCATACACTGGAGAAAATGTGCCCAAAAGTTCATGGGTGACAGTCTTTTCAGTGGATTTTGAAGCATGTTTGATGTTTTTTAGGCCTTATATCACCCAAAACATATTGCTACATGAAAGCAGAGGAGATTGGGACAGTTTCCCATTAACTTTTTTAGTTTAAAGTAGAAAATTGTGTGGAATGTGAAGCTGAATCTCACGTTTTTAAATGTATGAGCGTAAAAGTAATATTGAATGTTGAGGTAATGCATTTAGCTAGACGTTAGCATTTACACAGAGTAAAAATTTTTTTTGGAAGTTGTAATTTTGCGAGAAAAAACTTTGTAATTTTTTTAATTCTTTGTAATTCTTAGTAAAATTTTGTAATCTCTCTAAAAATTGTTTCAAAGTAAATCCAACATCCTTTTTTCAGTGCATGAAACTACATAGAAAAATGTCAAGGAATCCATCTGAAAAATGTAATGTAAACACACACTATAAGCACTAAAAAGCACTTTGCAATAATGCCAAATTAAAAGTTTTACTTTAAAGTACATTTTAAATCATTAACATAACGAAGCACATGTAAAGTGCTAGATTATAATTTAAACTGCAGTGTGCTATTCAATGAAACATATTTACATGTACTAAATTACAAATGTGTAATTACAAATATACTTAAATGCATGACATATATGATTTAATAGAAATGGAATAAAATTTGTCAGTGTGATTTAACCACATTTCAATAGAATAGAAGTATTCAGACAACAGAAGTAATTATGAAAAGACAATAGAATTAATTATGAAATGATGTATAAAGATGTACTTAAGTGGGTCGAATAATATACTATTTGAATTATAATATATTTTCATTTAATTGCATATAATGAATAATGTATATAATGCATATAATGAATAATGCATATAACATGGAATTATGTGTTAAAAAATATTGCATTCAGATTACATTGAAGAATCAGTTGATGGTTGCCATTGACTTCCATAGCATTTTTTTCCCTACTATGGAAGTCAATGGGTGCCCTAAACTTGTTTGTTTAACGACATTCTTCAAAATATCTTCTTTTGTGTTCAACAGAAGAAAGAAACTCATACAGGTGCGGAACAACTTGCGGGTGAGTAAATGATGAAATATTCTTCATTTGTGGTTAAACTACCCCTTTAAGTATGTTATTTCTGTAGTAAGTACTTTTAAAAAAAAGTATGCTTAAGTGTACTTGTCACAAGAATAGTGTATGCAAATTGGGACGCAGATTGAAGCATGATTGGCTGAGTTATCAGTCCATCAGGCTATGAATGACATGACAAACGAGGTGCACAACAATCAAACAAATGATATGAAGATGATGCACGACATTCACTCACACCTGAGGATACTGCAGCGCACATGAAGATGACAGTTTCATGATGGGAATGAAGACAAATGGAAAACCTGCAAATGTCCAGCAGAGTCATGTGAGAAATAGGCAATGCTAGGAAAGTTTATTTATATTCCGCATTTCATACAATGGTAATTCAAAGCGCTTTTCACAGAAAGGAATTAAAATAATCACAAAATAAAAACCTCGGGTTCAGTCTTTAAAGACCTTTTAAGACCATTTATATACAAAAACATTACAGGATTTTTCTCCATATAATGGACTTCAATGGGGACCAAACGGTTCAAGGTCCAAATGAGAGTTTCAGTGCAGCTTCAAAGGGCTTTAAACGATTCAGACGATGAATAAGAGTCTTATTAAGAGAAACGATCGCTCATTAAAAAAAAAAAGTTTAAGCTTTAGTTCCTGTTTGAACTCCTGTTTGAATCTTTTTCCGAGTCAATTCGTTCAGTTCGTTCGTTGAATGAACCAAATGACATGAAAAAAGATTTGTTCATTTTGATGAACAGAGCAAGGCAACCATTTGAGCTTATAAAACTTTTTTTTATGAGCGATCGCTTCGCTAGATAAGACCCTTATTCATCGTCTGAATCGTTTAAAGCCCTTTGAACAGTTTGTACTGAAACTGTCGTTTGGACCCCATTGAAGTCCATTATATGGAGAAAAATCCTGGAATGTTTTCATCAAAAACCTTAATTTCTTTTCGACTGAAGAAAGAAAGACGTGGACATCTTGGATGACAAGGCGGTGAGTAAATTACTCATATAGAACATATACCGACCAATACTGATATGGTAGCCGATATATAGTGCATCCCAATGTAAAACTACGTTATAGTGTTGTCAAAAGTACAGACTTCGGTACCAAGTTGATACTCAAATTTAAAAAATGTGACGCAATCACAAGCACCTCTGATTGGCCAATGTGTTCACGTGCTCATCGGATGGCTACAATGATCAACACACGGGTGCGTTTGAGAGCAGGAGCGCTTGAAAACACAAGCAGGACCGATCTGATGAAAGACACTTGCTTTCAAATGCTCGCGTGTGTATCGGTGTAAGCAATACTGATATGGTGGCCGATATATCGTGCATTCCTTCGTAAAACATCATATATGCACACAGGATTACCTTGGCAGCGATGGAGGCAGCAGTGATGTGTGAGGAGGAGCTGTCCTCAGTGGAGGCCACACCGCTGTCCTTCTTCTCCTCCTCCTCTTCCTCACACTGAACACCCTTGTCCTCGGTCTGCCGGTGCGGGCTGCTGCCGGGCAGCGGGGACAGAGGCGGCGGGGGCGAGGGCAGGTCCTCCAGCTCGTTCGGCACCTCCTTCACTTTGACCACGGCCTCTCGGAGCAGGTCGATGGCGTGCGGGAGAGCGGGAAGGATAAACTGGAAGCATTCCTACACGACACACACGCAAAGAAAAATAAAACAAAGGCCCAATCAAACACTCGCTGTTTGCACGCAAGTGTTTTTTTTGCTAGTTTCAGCCCGACGCAGTTATTATTTTCACGTCCTGGGTTACGTTATTAACCCTCTTATTATCTTTGGGGTCTTTTTGACCTGCAAATGACTTTGTCAATTTTTAAAAAAATGTTCTCTTTTTCCAAATGGTATGAAACTTTCTACGACTCTTAACACTGTCTAGATCTACCAAAAAAAAAAAAAAAAAATTTTAGAATGATATCTGATTTTATGTTAGCATGAAAAAATGCCAACACTCTTTATCTTCGGTATCCCTGGAGACCCCGCATAGTGAATATACAAAATTCATCATTAAAATCAGAAACAACGAAGAAACAACGCAGATCACATAGACAGAAATAAAGTGGCACACTTCCAACAATGCAAAAAACATCCACAATGCACACTCACACACACACTTCAAATACCAACGCCTCCAGTAACCAGTAAACACCTCCAGTGCACCACCAGTTATTGTTCCTAATTGTTCACAAAAAAAAAAAAAAATCCAATCAGTTTTTTTTAGGAAATCGTTTATTTATTATGATTTTATTTTTTTCCTGCTTTATATGCTCATTTGTTATTGCTGTTCAGTTAATTGCATTTTTATGTGTTTTTTTTCAATATGTAATATAACTGTTCATTTCTGTTAATTTTTGTTCTTTTACAGTTCGTAACTGAAACATTGTTTTAAAATTATAGAATTATATTAAAAACAGATAATTGAAATAAATGATCAAATCGAAAGACTCCAACATTTCTCTTTGTAACATCTTGTTCAGGTTTGATTCTAATCATAATGTAACATTATTGAAAAACTTTTGTCAGTACAAAAAAATACTTTTTTTTTGTTATAATTGTGATTTCATAATATTTAGATATGAATCCAACTGGAAAAACTTGTGAAATATAGTTTAGTTAGTCAAATAGCAAATAGCTTATAGTGGAGGTCTATGGCCATCTAGTGGTTAAAGTGATATTTTTTTATTTTAAAACTGCATTTTGTCAAAATTGTCAAAAATCTTACATTAAACCATGTTAAATGATCCATGTTATCTCAATGAATGAAAATTAGAAATCTGGGTCTTTTATAAAGTGAATTTTACATACAATGCCGTTTTTTTGTAAAAAGCCTATTTAAATAAATATTTATTTATTAATTTATAGAAATTTAAAAGATATCTAAAATCCTCCAAAAACTGCAAAAATGTTGTGTAAAAACATTAATAAATAGAGTAAAATTAAATTATTATACTGCTTCAAAATTAAATGTTATTGTCTGGGGTCCCTGGAGACCCCAAAGATAATGAGTGTAGACACAAATGAAGATAATAGAAGGGTTAAAATAGCAAATACGTTTGCCCCCATTCGTGCGCCCATGGACTGCTGGTCTGAAAACGAGGTGTGTTCGGGAGCATTGTTGGTGCGTTGCTATTTTGAGGAACTGAAATAGAGCCATTGACCAACTAAAACCTGGTCCAAAGTCTAAAGCGCAATATTTTTTTAATTTAAAGAGCGCATTTGTAATGTGCACCTATAGGCCGGAGCGCAACGCTCGTACACTTTGTCCCGTAGATGTTAATCTCGCGCACGAGCAGATCCGTTTCCTCGCTACAGAAGCGTTCACTTTTTCCGCTTGCATGTAAATAGCGAATCCGCCATGGCGTGAGCCCAACTGGCTTTTAAAGGGAATGGGAGATGAGACTCTGATTGGTTTATTTCACGTTAACACACCCATTACTCATTGAGAGAATAGGGACTACCCTTTTAGACCACGAGCCGAGTGCGCCGACCACTTTTCCTATCGTTAAACTAGCTAAAGTGGATTCGGACACACCCTAAGTGCACTTGCGCCCTGTGCTTTAGACCATGAGCTTAGATCGTTAAAATAGGGCTCATAGACATCAATTTAATCCAGATACATTTGAAAACACATATTTTTCTCAATGTTTTGGCCTTTCGTCCAGAATGTGATGAAAGGGTGAAAACTTTTGAAGCTTTTTGAAGAAGCTCTCCAAAGTGATTGAATCTGAAAATGCTGTTTTCGCATTGTAGTGTGAAAACTGTGAAATGGAGTGTGGCGAGCAGAACGAGGCCGAGGACGACGCACCGGTCTCGATCTCTACTGTCGTTGCTCCTCCTTTACGCATCCGCTCCTCTGTGAGAGATACGAGACCTAAATCAGTTTTTGAGAATGAATGTCTACCCGTTGCTTTGGTCTTCGTCATCACCCGCTTGCACCACCTGCTGGTGAGTCTACTAACAGCAGACTTAGTAGCAAATTTGTAAAGTGAAATGAAATGGACAGAAACTTGCCTGTTGAATTATTTAAACAGACTGAATATTTTGGATTATTGAATTTTTAATAATAGTAATGAAAATGTGTGTGATATGTGTTTGAAACAAAAAAGTGAATGTGAATATTTCGATTCAAAACATATGTAATTAATTAACTTCCATACTGTGCCCTTTACAGTTAAAATACAATCAAGCAAGCCCAGTCCAGTTGAGAAAAAGCAATGCAAAAGTAACGTTACACTTTACTTCCCATAAAAAGTAACTAAGTAACTCAAATAGTTAGGGAGTAACGCAACACTGGGAATCACTAATAAAAAAGTACCAAAAATAATCATGTTTTTGGACATTAACAATGGAAGTATATTTCTGTATGGGATAAACCAGTATTCTTCTTCTTTAATTATATTATAAGTGATTTACAGACAACTTTTGTTCTATTTTATTCATCTCAGTGATTTCTCAAATTGGACAAGCAATGAAAAAGATATAAACCTTAAACTATTCTGGAATGATCCAAAAGCGGCTCTGTAATTATTCATGTTTATCTCTATTTCCAGCACCCATTAACGTAGGTCTATATTTTATTGAGAATACAAGCAGTTTTGACTTTGCTAGTGGAGTACACACTTCTCATTAAGAACTAGACCAGTATTGAGACATATTTTTATTATTATTATTTATTATTATTATTATATTATTTTATTATTATTATTATTATTAACCAAACTTTTAGTGAACGAAAAAAAAAAATGTATTCTTACCTGTGAACCTTTTTTACTGCCCGGCAAATTTATGATGAGAGTTTTCCCTCGGATACCACACACGGGTCTGTGCACACACACAATGAAAGAAACCAATTATTCATTCTCATATACACACACTATTTTTGCTCAAAGAAAGTAATATTTTATCCAGCAAGGATGCATTGTAACAGTAAAGACGTTTATAATGTTATAAAAGATTCTATTTCAATTAAATGCTGTTCTGGATTCATAATAAGAAAAAGTCCTGAAAATAATGCATCACAGTTTCCACCAAAATATTAATCAGCTGTTTTCAATATTGATAATAATCAGAAATGTTTCTTGAGCAGCAAATCATCATATGAGAGTGATTTCTGAAGGATCATGTGACACTGAAGACTGGAGTAGTGATGCTGGAAATACAGCTTTGATCACAGGAATAAATTACAGTTTACAATATATTCACATAGAAAATAGTTATTTTAAATTGTAATAATATTTCGGAGTAATACTGATTTTTGGCGAGCAGAACAAACTTAAAAAACATTTGACGTACTGGCATTTGAACAGTTGTATTTAAACGTTATTATTATCATTCATAGTAATTGTGTATTAATAACAACTGTAAATTCTGAATATATAGTATTCAGGCATTTGTATTATTATATTCTGAAAACAAGCTGTTCCTCTAACTATCTGTTGTATTTCTGTGCTGGAAGCGTCTCTTCTGTGCATGAGCCAATAAGTCTGTGTTTTTGATTGAGAGGCTGAACTGGGATCAGTTTTTCTCTGAATATCCAGAATGAATGTCAAAGACGATCCTGTGAATGTTTTGGACGTGTTGAAGCCAGACCTGGAGAGCATTCCCAGAGGAGTGACATTCAGAGATCCCATCAGCATGGCCAGAGACATCCCTGGAGCTTCCCGCTCGATCACCTCTTTAGTGGCCTGGACAGACAGAAACACAGAGAGGCTCAGGAAAGACAAATGACAATCTCTTTAAAAGGGGTCCTATGCATTTTTCTTTCTTAGTGTGTAATGTTGCTGTTTGAGCATAAAAAAGGTCTGCAAAGTCACAAGGGAAAACATCAAAGGAGGAGTGTTGATGAGACTCATGAGGAGAGAGAGAGAGAGATTTTGTTGTTCACAACTTCATTTGATCATAAGATATAATTATGATCACATTTTTGTGTTTCACATATCATGATTTCTTACAAGCCCAAATACTTATTCCAATATCAAAGCAAAAAAACAACATTACATCCAAAACTGTGCAAATAGTTTCATTATATCCCCACGTTTGCAAAAACTTCATTAACCAACTTATAAAATTTAAAATCAATCAGAATCCGACTTTTCACCAAATTTTTAAAAACCATCTCTTTTGCCCAACTATACCTTCTAATTTCTCCCCTTGAAATATAAATAGCAATTTCAGAAATATAAATAATAATTTACTATAAATTATTTAATTAAATATCTATCTATCTATCTATCTATCTATCTATCTAAAAATCTATCTATCTAAAAATCTATCTATCTAAAAATCTATCTATCTATCTATCTATCTATCTATCTATCTATCTATCCATCTATCTATCTATCTATCTATCTATCTATCTATCTATCTATTAGGGGTGGCACGGTTCACGAAACCGACGGTTCGGTTTGTATCACGGTTTTAGGGTCACGGTTTTCGGTTCTGTACGGTTCTTGTTATTTTTTTCTTTTAATTTTTAACACTCCAGAAATGTACTTCAGCATGTGATCTATAGCTTAATTATCCACACTTTAGGATACAGTATAAAAAAAAATGATATTCATGCAATCATGCACAAACTGAATTTGACTCTCTGACTTTAAGCACATTTTGGGACTATCTCAGAGGAAAGCTAGGTGAGATTTTGATACAGCAAGAAGAGAAGACATTGACATGATTTTCGTTTATTTGGCAAAAAAAAAGGAGAATGTGTATCACACTATATCTACAAGAACTTGTGCATTTTTATCACACAAATCTTATTTACACAAGAAATAAACTTGCATTTATCAACTGCCAACTTTTGTAGCTCTTACAAAAATTCTATCTTTTAAAAGAAAAAAAGAGGAACTATTAAAACACTGTCTTTTAAATGTCAATATACATGAAACCTCATTGCCTATAATTAGTTAGGCTATAGCAATAGCAAAGGCCATAAACATAAAGTGAAACATAAGTTCAACCTCAACACAAAAGACAGTATCAACAATGCTTCTATTCCCAGAGAGTCCCACTTAAAATTAAAGTGCAGGATTTGGAAACGTATGACTGAAGCTCTTATTTATACATAAAGTGCCACTGTAGCGTTATATTAAAATATCATAACATGAAATCCAAAATGTTCCCACACACCGGACTTATACCATAGACTCATACGACGCTGGCGCATCCTCCAACTCCCTCATCTCTCCCACTTGCCATTTCTCCGCGTGCCGTGACCTGCAGCGCTCCATACTCCACTTTTACTGGCTTGTTTACTAACTTGAACCGGCGCTGCACAGAGCGATCGGTAATGACATCAAATACCGCAAAAGTGAGTGACGGAGCCGTCGCTCTCGGGCTAGTTTGATGTTATTCACCGGTCGCTCTGTGCAGCGCCGGTCCAAGTCGAACAAGCTTATGTCGCGCGAAAGATAACACACGTCACATACGGGCACGAGGCGCATGCGTCGAACCGTGAGACGCACACACGCTCCGAACCGAGACAAGCGAACCGAACGGTTCGGGTGTTTTTCATGTACCGTGCCACCCCTACTATCTATCTATCTAAAAATCTATCTATCTATCTATCTATCTATCTATCTATCTATCTATCTATCTATCTATCTATCTATCTATCTATCTATCTATCTAAAAATCTATCTATCTAAAAATCTATCTATCTATAGACCAACGCTACTTTTGCGTCATCGAAGGGTAACGCCCCCTTTTGGGGGAAAACACCTCTATACTGTCTATGGGAAAACAAACGGATTCCCATGAGAACAGAACTCGCACTAGATCTGCAAAGTTTCTTGATAGCAAAAATGGCACAAACTTAAAGAAGCTAACGTTACTGAATACGGGGTTACAGAGGTGTCCCTTTGAAATGGTCGAAAACTGGATTAATGACCCCACACAGCGGCCAAATATGGACTATTCAGACATCTAACGTTACCACTATCTCGTGGAATCACCAAGTAAGTAGCCTTTTTTATTTATTTATCATTTACACACTCACAGTAGCCTATTACAAACTACTAGACGATGAGGCCATGTCACTTGGATCATATTTAACTTGATTTAAGCTATTGACAGTTTTGTTGTCGACTAAGCTATTAGAAAGACTAGCTGTTAGCAGCTAACGTTACCTTATTAGACTATGTCAATAGCTTAAATCAAGTTAAATATGATCATTCATCGTCTAGTTTGTCATACTGTGAGTGTTAATGAAAAAAAAGGCTACTTACTTGTGATTCCACGAGATAGTGGTAACGTTAGATGTCTGAATAGTCCATATTTGGCCGCTGTGTGGGGTCATAATCCAGTTTTCGACCATTTCAAGGGACACCTCTGTAACCCCGTATTCAGTAACGTTAGCTTCTATAAGTTTGTGCCATTTTTGCTATCAAGAAACTTTGCAGATCTAGTGCGAGTTCTGTTCTCATGGGAATCCGTTTGTTTTCCCATAGACAGTATAGAGGTGTTTTCCCCCAAAAGGGGGCGTTACCCTTCGATGACGCAAAAGTAGCGTTGGTCTATCTATCTATCTATCTAAAAATCTATCTATCTATCTATCTATCTATCTATCTATCTATCTATCTATCTATCTATCTATCTATCTATCTATCTATCTATCTATCTATCTATCTATCTATCTATCTATCTATCTATCTATCTATCTATCTATCTATCTATCTATCTAACCATCCATCCATCCATCCATCCATCCATCTGTATGTCTATCAATCAATCCATCTATGTATCTATCTCCCACCAAAGCCTGTAACTGGTGTAATAGATCAGAGCTCAGATGCTCACCTTTGGTCAGCATATCTGACGAGAATACAGTAGGTCACATCAATAAAGAGGAGATGAGCTGAGATCAGGATCTGATCTAGACTAGTGTGAGCGCTGGAAGTGCTCTTGTGATGGTAGTTGGTTCATTTTGGCTAGTGATCACAGCTTTGTAGTGTGTGTTATTCAGGTCTGTAAGAGAAAATCTAAGGCAGGAACACACATCTGACTCTCGCCTCACACACACACACACACACACACACACCTCAGGTGTGACATCTCGTGGAGCGAAGCCTGTGCCACCTGTGGTCAAAATCAGGTTTAACTCTTTCTCATCACACCAGTCGACAAGCGTCTCCTGAACCAGACAAAAGAAACACACATCAATAAACACACACACATTTACAGTACATTGGCACATCAATAGAAAGTAAAGCATTTATACACGTCTTTACTGTCACTTTTGATCAATTATTAGTAATTCTTTAAAAATACATACCTTGATTTCATCAATTTCATCAGGAACGATTTTGTAAGCCGAGATGGTTCCTCCAAGCCTGAAAACCAAGATCAGAGTATGAGAACAACTAGACCTACAGAGCCATAAAGGTGATGTGTTTGTAGAAATCTATCAAGCCTATATTTTATTGCATGGCACCATCCTGTGGCCAAATCAAGAATTAGGACAAACAGAGATGGGGTTTATGTGTGTGTGCGAAAGAGAGAGAGGGCGAGCAGGAGAAAAGCACTTGAGGCAGAAGGTGTAGAGCAGCAGACAGGTCTTATGTAAGGTCTCTTTTCCCTTCTCCCCTTTTGTGTGCATGTTATTTTTATGAAAACTATAGCATCATATTTCCTTGTGACTGCAGTTAGGCGCGCGCACACACACACACACACCAGGTGACCAAAACATGTACCTCTTTATAAATAAAAAAATTACATTACAATTGTATATATATATATATATATATATATATATATATATATACACTCTCAGAAAAAAGGTACAAAAGCTGTCACTGGGGCTGTACCTTTTCAAAAGGTAAACTTTTGTCCATTTCAGGTGCTAATATGTACATTTCAGGTGCTAATATGTACATTTTATGTGATAATATGTACATTTTAGGTGCTAATATGTACATTTTAAGTGTTAATATGTACATTTTAGGTGCTAATATGTACATTTTATGTGTTAATATGTACATTTAGGGCCTAATATGTACATTTTAGGTGCTAATATGTCCATTTCATGAGCTAATATGTCCATTTTAGGTGGTAATATGTACATTTTAGGTGGTAATATGTACATTTTAGGTGCTAATCTGTCCATTTCATGAGCTATATACAGTATATATATATATATACTGTATATAACATGTCATATAACATGTCAACATATATATATATATATATATATATATATATTACAAAACTTTAGCTTAACTTTAACAAAAATGAAAATAGATGAATAAATGTAGGGCATTATGATTATCTAAATCAATTTGAAAGTTTTTATTCCCCGTTTACAAAAAGTTTATTTTTATTTTTATTATATTTAATGTTCTCAAAAATCACATTTTCACAAACACATTTTATTTCCATTTAATATTTATTTGACGAGGTTGATTCTTTTGAACATACTTTACTCCTCACTATGCAGAGCAACAGTCACACCTGTCAGGTAAAACACAGCAACCCTTGAGTGTTATTGGCTTCACTCTTTGCATAAATAACATTATACTAATAGCAAATAACTTTGGATCTTTTCTTCTGTTTCCAAGGAAACCACTTCAGACTACAGCCTCTGGTGGCAGCGACTCTCTCTCTCTCTCTCTGTGTGTGTGTTTCAGAGCATTTGTGATGCTAGACTTTAGACACACGGTTTGGGCTCAGAGAGTGCGCCTGTCCTGAACGTGTGGAAAACTCGTTTATGAACAACAGAACGTGCCTGAGGTTTATTCTGCTCAAAGTGAGATACCTGTGCTTTCATTTCAGCACCTCTCTCTCTCTCTCTTTAAATGTGCAGTAAATTTACCCTAAAATAAATATACTGTCATCATCTACTCACTCTCATTTCATGCAAACTTTTCAGGCTCCAAAAAGGAGAAAAACACATCTTGGCAAACGTGACGCGTAACACGAGAATGAACCTCATTGGTTCATGCTAAAGCTCAAGAGTGATGCGTAACATGTCTCAACTAATAAAAGTCAAGGAGGAGATTCTAAAATGTGTGGCAGATACAGTCAATGGAACTGCATTATGGGATACAGTATCTCACACAGTGGATGAAATCAGAATAGCATACTTTTTTATTTTATTTTACTATTTCTGTTACACACTAGAGTTCAAAAGGTTTGGGTCAGTGCATTTTTTTTAAAGAGTATTTTTGTTTAATTGATCAAAAGACTTTTATAATGTTGAAAAATATTCAATTTTAAAAATAAATGATGTTCTTTTGAACTTTCTAGGCTATTCGTCTAAGAATCCTGAAGAAAATGTCTATCTTAGAGTGATTTCTGACGGATCATGTGACACTGAACACTGGAGTAATGATGTTGAAAATTCCGCTTTGTATCAAATAAATAAATTAAATTTTACAATATATTCACATAGAAAACAGTTATAATAAATTGTAATAATATTTCACAATTTTTACTGTATTTTTGATGCACAGAATGTTCAAAAACATGAACAAATCTTAAACTAAATAGCTCTCTATTTACGAGTACTAGAAGTCATGGATGACAAATCCATGACTTTTTTTCCGATTAGTGATTTAAAAAAAATACTTTTTATTTTGAAGTATGATAGTTTGACGTTGCGAACACAGGCATCTTACCATCGTGACCAGCGGGATTGCAACAACATGCTACATGTTAATAAGTCCATTTATAGAAATGCCAAGGAAAAGTGCCTATAGTGAAAACACAAACGCTCTAAAACATTTCGAGGTACTGACATCCTCCCTTGCCGACAGGACTCCAGTGATATTTCTGGCACAGTTAAACAGTTGCACTTTTCCCTGCCAGAATCGTTGCCCGTGTCTTTCTCTGTCTAATGGAAGAGTTATGACTGTTTAATCGAACCCTGCTGTCATATAGACCCTGCCACACTTAAAAACATCATTCCTGGCCTCGCCGCCTTCCTCAGGGTATGAATAAAGAAAGACAGAGAGCGTGTGCCAGAGGAGGAGAACGCATCCCGTCGCACACATCTGTGACCCAGCTTTACTTCTGGATGAGCTCCCAAACCAAGGCCATCTGCTGCTGTGATTTCATTAATAATGGAGCACCTTTGTGCTGAATGATGGCTTTCGGCGCACTTTAAAGCACTGCTGGAGGACGCTGGGACCCTACCTGAAAACACTCACATGCTTACTGCACTGAACATCTGAAGTATGGATGAGTCGCTGCATACCATGAACCTTTCATTAATAAATTAAAATATTACTATAATAAACATGTAGGAAAAATTGGCTTAATTTAACAATAATTTAACTAATAAACAAAAAAAAATAGTATTATAAATATGTAAAATAAACGTAATTATATTATGTAATAGAAATGTGCACTGTTGTACTATATATTGAGCAATTTCATTAAGAAACAAACAGATAAATCTTTTGAGAAGTTAATAAAACATGTGTTTAATTAAAGGTAGAGTGAAAATCATGTTCAAAATTTCAGTCAAATCATGTTTGATATTTTATTAAGATAAAAATATTACTATTAGAAAAAAATGCTTAATTATACAATGAATGCAAACCATGTTTGAGCAATAAAACAAAAATATTACTATTATAAACAAATCATAAAAATGTGTTTAATTATCGGGGGAGTGAAAATCATGTTTAAAATTTCAGTAATAAATACAAATATTACTATAAAAAATGTATAAAATGTGCTTAATTACACAATATATGCAAATCATGATTAATATTCTATTAATAAACAAATATTATTATAAAAATGTAATAGAAATGTGCACTATTATACAATAAGTGCAAAACATGTTTGAGCAATTTCATTAAGAAACAAAAAGATTATTCTTTTGAGAATTTAATAAAAATGTGTTTAATTATAGAAAGTGAAATCATGTTTGTATTACTATAAAAAATGTATAAAATGTGCTTAATTACATGATAAATGCAAATCATGATTAATATTTCATTATTAATGTTTTAAAAAATGTACATTTTTTAAAATATTATTATAAAAATGTATTATAAAAAATATTATAAAATATAAAAATATTATAAAATATAAGTGCAAAACTTGTTTGAGCAATTTTATTAAGAAACAAAAAGATTATTCTTTTTAGAATTAAATAAAAAAAAAGTTAAATAAACTTTTTATTTAAACTTTTTAGAGTTAAATAAAAACGTGTTTAATTATAGAGAGTGAAATCATGTTTAAAATTTCAGTAATAAATACAAATATTCCTATTATAAAAATGTAATAAAACATGTGTTTAATTATACAAAAAGTGCAAAAACATGATTAAGCATTTCAATATTTCATTTACAAAAATAGGTGATTTTTTTTGTTTTGCTTCATTGTAAAACTGCAAAATATTATATTTTATTGGTCTTAAAAATTCATTTTCATTATGCAAAATATGATGAAACATTTTTTTCTTTAGATTTTTAGATGCAAATTGAGATTAATTTCCTCAAAGCATGCTCAAGGTCAGCTGAACTCTCTCTAACAAGCCAGGGTCAGGGTAAGACGAGCCACATGCCACCGATCTGATTTATTCACGGGCTATTTTTAGTGCCACCAATTAGTTTGCAGTCGCGTGAGGACAACGCGACCCGTCCTCGTCTGATAGCCGTCTCTCCTGCAGCGTTCACACTTAACACACATCCGCTTCATCTGACAGTCTGTCATCTCGCTCTCCGCTAAACCACCTGGGTTTATATTTCACCTGACAGCCCGTCCAAACACTTCCTCCTGAATTCATTACAAGGGAAGCACAGTGTTTCAGGGCCAGTTTTCTTAAAGGGATATTTTGCTTCAAAAAAATTAATAATCTGTCATTTATTCACGGTCATGTCGTTCTGAAGCCGTATGACATTTACATGTTAATATTCACGTTATTTTACATATGATATCGTTCTTCTTCGCCTGTGTTTTGATCAGGATATTCTGTACTCGTTTAACGAGATGCGTAATAGCGCCCCCTACCGTAAAACAGTGAAAAACGGAAGGAAAGAGTTGATATATAAAGTATAAGATAATGTGATTTTCTGTGTGTATTTGGATGTGGTTGCACTGTTTGATATGCATCTCGCACATTTCATTCATGTACAATGACACTTCATTACAGTTACAGCGCAGTGTGACATTGAGTCGTTCTGACATTAATATCCATCAAGGGTTCAATGCAAGCACATGTTCTGCATGTTTAACAGCCTGAACTCCTGACGAGCATTAAGTGATTAGCATGACGTGAACGTCTCATCATATGAGCAGTGAAGCTAACAGGCCACCGAAGCCGTTCAGCGCGTTACAGAAATACAAATATTACAATAGCAAGATTTAAATAACTTGAAAAGCATCAAGGGAGACGCTTTAAGTGAAAAATGTGTGTGTTTTGTGGTGGTCACTCACAAGGAAGGGTCGTGCACGAGGTCTTTGAGGTTGACCCCGCTGCGGTCCTCAGCGAGATTGCGAAAGCAGCTGTCACTTACTGCAACACAAACAGAGATGATAGAAAACAAGGTTATAAATGCTGTTTACATAAAGGTACAGTAGATATTGTTCATTCAATGAGCAGATCACTGTAAAAAAATATTTTCATGATTTGTAATCACAACATTTTTTCTTTTGTCAAATCTACTTAAATAATTTATGTAATTCAGATAACATAATATTTTGAGTTTATGGTGATTAAACCAATATCCTTCATTGTATTAACTCACTTTTTCCAGTTCAATGAACTTAAAATTTTAAGGCAACCAGGTTACTTCATTTTTTAAGTTAAACCAACAATATTTTTTACAGTGTATGAGGTATGTTCACTACCATGAAGGGCCGGAGTGGGGCCACTTTTCAGCCCGGGAGTTTTAGGCCCAAGACCGGCCCACTTTCTCCATGGTGTTGGAAATTGGATAAATGAGGCAACAGTTCAGCTCTTACTATTGTACATTTTTATTAATTCCACACTGTAAGAAAAATTTTCAAGATTTGTTATCACAACATATTTTCTTTTGTCAAATCAACTTTATAATAATTTATTTAGTTGAGATAACTTATTATTTTGAGTTTCTGATGATTAAATTAATCTCCCTCTTTGTATTAACTCACTTTTTCCAGTTCAATCAACTTAAAATTTTAAGGCAACCCAGGTTACTTACTTTTTTTAAGTTAAACCAACAATATTTTTTACAGTGTAGTAATCACAACATTTTTTTCTTTTGTCAAATCAACTTAAATAATTTATTTAGTTCAGATAACATATAATTTTGAGGTTCTGATGATTAAATCATTCTCCTTCATTGTATTAACTCACTTTTTCCAGTTCAATGAACTTAAAATTTGAAGACAACCAGGTTACTTACTTTTTTAAGTTGAACCAACAATATTTTTTTACAGTGATGGTTCAACAGTAATGTAAAGGTTAAATAATAATTCACTTCAGCTGAGAAGTTAGCAAAAAAAAAATCATTATAATAATTTTTCTGCATGGGTATCAAATTGTGGTAATTTACTCCATTACTACACCCACTTCTAAACAAACAAACAATACATTTTGGTTTATCATGTACCATCATATACTGTTCTTTCTTAAAATTACAGAGAGATTTATGGATATCTACTTTTGTTATCCTGTCAATAGCGTTAAAAATGATGTTAGAATAAAATGTTATATAAATCAGGCTATGAATAATATATTTACTAATCCCTCTGTAAATGTCTATATAATATAAGCAGGTGCAGGACTGGAAAGTTTGGTGTATATCTATATATCTATATAAAAGCTATTTTGGTTTTTTGTGTAACACATGTGATCAGTTTCATTCAATCAGCCCACAGGCTCTGAATGAGCCATATGGTCAACATGATGCTTATCTTCGGCACTGAATCCTTCACAATAAGAGCGGCAATGTGAATGAATGAAGAAAGAAAGATGAAGTCAAGTTTGGTTTCATGTTGGGTTTAAAGAGCCCACCTGGAGCAAAGAGTATCGTGCAAACCTTCATCATGATACAGCGACACGCTGAGCTAAAGAGACGAGTTCAAACACGAGATCAGGAGCGACAGATAAGGACGCTGAGGAAGATGATGATCTGCACTGGAATCAGGCTTCAAAGGAATGTTAATGCAGCCAGTGCGAGATAGAGGAAGACAAGAGAAGGAGAACATGTTTCTGCTTTTGTTGGCCGCTCCAGCGGATAGGAAAGCTGATGGATATCTGATGTCTCTGGTTAGTCATGGTTTCTATACCAGTTCTATCCTACACAATATGGACCATTTTGGACTAAATTTTGGGCATTTTTGCACCAAAACTGTTTAGCATACAAAACAAACGAGAGTGCTGACGTGTAGCCCTAGTGAAAATATACCAAAATGTATTTGAAATACATTGATTTTATGCTAATACATTCACATATTTATGTGCTTAATATAAATATAGGTATGTGGACAAAAAATTAAAACTCAACAAATAGACAAATGGATAGCATATGTGGAAAGACCTGGGTACCCCCTTTACAAAAAAAAAAAAAAAGGTAAATATGTCAAGTATGAAGAAAGTTACAACATTTTATAGTTCAGTAATCAGCGCCTATTTTTGTCTCATTTCTAAGGTGAAAACAATATAATTTAGTGTGACCGAAAACAAGTTGTTTTTTTCACAAAAATGCTCATAACTTTCTCAATATTCAAGATATCTTAATGAAATTTTCTGTGGAGATGGGTTTCATATAGTTATTTGGATCTAACGTGGGTTTCATGTAGTTATTTGGATCAATACTTGATTTTAACACACGTAAAGACTGATTAGGCCTATCTTTTATAGTATTTTTTCTGACGAGCAGTTGTTGAAAATACAAATAATTGAATGGAAACAACAATTCAAGGAAAATTATATATCCTTAATTTAAAAGATGGATTTTGGTTGATTCATGCTATTTCCAGTTGTGTAAGAATATAGAGTTAACAAATACTAATGCTGGTGGAGGAAAGAAAGTGGAGGAGACCACACAAATGTTGAGTGTAGCCTACACGACGTGCTGCATTTTGACAGCTTTCTGCAGGTAACGTTCAGTGGCAGTAGTCAAAAAAAAAGAGGGGGAGTTTAAATGGCCACGAAATTTTGTACAGCACACCACAAACATATGTTCTTCATGTCTACCTTCCTCTGGAAAGTGTCCAAAGTGGGTAAAAATAATTTCTTGACAGTTGAATTCTTCCGTATTGTTTGAAATCGTCTTTCAGGAGGAAAATGCAGCCTGACTAGAAAAAATGTAAAACAAATGTGCAGTCGAAAACGCTAACGATGTGATTGGCTAAAAATAATCAAGGATTCCCACAGCAAGTCAATGAAAACAGCGCATTTTAGGAGACCCGCTCAGAGTGATAAGGGAAAATCCGGCACAGAGATTTGGAACACAATGGCGGCCGCTATTTTTTGAAATGTCCACATACCTAATAAATACCTTGCAATTGTACTTTTTGGTATACTTAATTTATATAAAGTATGCTAAATTGGAACAACTAATTTTGTACTTTTAGCCTGAATTAGTGCTTAGGTCCAACTAAAGATACTGAAGTATATTTGATTGTGCTAAAGTGGAACTATACTTTATTTACACTTTAAATATCTTGCATTTAAAGATGTCATACTATCCTTACTAATGCTATCAAAAAACATTTTAGGGTTACTATTAAGAAGTGTGCAAGTTAATCAATTAATCACTTATTATGAAATAAATGTATTTTAAATAAATACTCTCCATATATATATCCAATTCGTTAAATGTTGGCATGAAATGAATGGCTTTTCTGAGGTAACGTATATGACGTTAACGTTACGTGACATCAAGCTGCTTTATTCACGTCTTTCCGCGTTGAGACGGTGATTAAGCGATTTTATGAGACACGATATGGATTTCTATAAGTTGTACTGTAACTTTTAACATACCTTCAGATGTTCAATCATGTTTATTTCATGCTAGCTGAAGAGACGATCCGTTTAGCTGATTCTCTTGATCTGAGGCGGCAACAGCGAGATTTCACGTCAGAGCGCCAAAACTTATTTAGTATTTAGTACGAATTTCTATGGACATAATTTGAAACCTGAGACTTTGTTTAATGTCAAAAGTAACAAAGCTCAAAGCTTATTACGATTTATTGGATGGGAGAAGCGAAAACACTGAGATCGATTGGGAAAAAAAAACATTATAAAAACCCAACTTCCTGTTTCAACCGGAAATATTTCAAAACTGCTGGGAAACCCAAACGCATTTTTATCCATGGTTGAAATCAACGGGGTCGCTGTGTCCATTTCTTTTACTGTCTATGATTTTTATTAAAGATTAGCAGGCAATAACTTTCTCCATTTTCACTGTGTATTTTGAGTGTTGCAATAATAATCATAATTGGTGGTGTTTGCACTATCATTCAAAAGTTTGGGGTCAGTAAGATTTATTTATCTTTTTTTCTGTAAATTGATCAAAAGTTAAACTAATGACATTTATAATGATTTTTAAGTTTTATATTACAAATAAATGCTGTTCTTTTGAACTTTCGCTTGTATCACGGTTTCCACAAAAATATAAAGCCACACAACTGTTTTCACCATTGATAATAATAATCAGAAAATATTCATATTAGAATGATTTGTAAAGGATCATGTGACACTAAAGTATGACTGGAGTAATGATGCTGAATGAAAAAAAATCTACAGCATCTCTAGCCATATAGCACAGCTTTTCTACTTTCAGCGTGAACAGACGAAAGTTGGAACGGTAAGTTTCTTTGAACGAAAAGCATCAGCTAAATGTCAAATTAGTAATCAGAGCATGCTGGTCAGGGTTTAGTTAAGACCGTGAAGTATGGCTCCAGGACAGGGAACAGGTCCAGCGGCCCCATGCCAAACACATTCCTGCTGCTTCTCCATCTGTACTGCAACTGGGACGAGATGGAGCGCCTGACCTTTGACCCGACCCTCATCTGCCCCGATCGGGGAGAGCCGCTGTTATCAGTCTGAATGAGGACACAGTGCAGTGCTTCATAGTAAGTACACTTAACACATCACATGCACACTGATACCACGACTGGACCCTGAAAAGTGCAATTTCACACATTACACACACTAAATAATGCATTAATAGCATGAGTAGTATGCTAGTATGCTACTCCAAAAAATATTTACTGTACTACCTCTGCCAGGAGAACATGCAAGCTGAATAAATTTGGATCTGTTTTGAATAACAGAATATTCATTAATGTTATCTGCCCAGTCAAGCATCCATATTTCTAGGGCTGCTCGATTTTGGGGGGAAAAATCTAATTGTGATTAAAAAAAAAAAAATTGTGCCAAAATTTATCAGTATGACTAAAATAAATGAATAATAATAATTATTATTATTATTATAATACCACCACCTTTTTATTTTTGGTATATAAAAAGTTATTACACAAATAATAATAATAAAAATATATTATTATCATTATTATAATACC